GTTTAGGGCTTAGGGGTTTAGGATTGAGGGTTTGGAGTCTAGGGTTGAACATCAAACGCTGCAGCTTTGCAACGCTGGCAACACATCCCGAGCAACCCTAAACCCTAAACCCTAAACCCTAAACCCCTAACAACCCTCAAACTCGGAAAGCCAGCTTGTGACTAGGGCTTAGGGCTTAGGGTTTAGGGCTTAGAGTTTTGGGCTTTCGGCTTTGGAGTTTTAGGGCTTAGGGTTTTAGGGCTTAGGGCTTAGGGCTTAGGGCTTAGGGCTTAGGGTTTAGAGTGTAGAGTTTCGTTTCACAACTCACATGATCACAGCCCATAGTGTTTAGGGTTTAGGGTTTAGACGGGTATGTAATCAACTGTACGACCCCCCTCTCGAGAATGCACTCGTTAATTACAAGCCTCAGACACTGCATCCCTCCACTGTTAAACCTCTACAGCGCTGACACCAGCACATGTACTCCAAAGCATTTCACGTTTAGGGTTTAGCGGTTATGGTTTAGGGTTGGGGTTGGAATGAGCAACCAAGATTATTCCTTGGGGCTCTTTATTATTAAAAATAACAAATCCAAACCCTTGAGCTAGAGGACATGGAAGCCGCGAGCCAAAAAGACGAGCAAAGGGAAAGTCCTAAGTCTAGGAACTAGGATTAGGGGACCCTTGGGGACATAGACCCTCTGAATAAGGTCCCTTTTAAGAGAGCCAGAAGTAGGGTTACGACAGGGTCCCCTTTAAGGGGCCTCCCTAATACTAGCTAGGACATTCCTCAGCTCCACACCCGGAAAGCCTAGTAAAACAAAGCCCATACCCGAAAGCTGGGATGCTACACCCTAAACCCTAAACCCTAAACCCTAAACCCTAAACCCTAAACCAGTACTTCCGCACCCCCACGATACCCTAAACCCCCGAAGAACCTCTAAACTCCCAAGAGCCCAGCAGAGCTGCAAGTAGAGATGGCTACAGTAGCCATGGGCTATAGCGATCCTACGGTTTACGGCTCCCGGTCCCTCATTCCGACTGCAACTAAGATACTTGCCTGCGACGCTTCTTATGGTCAAGATAGCAGCCTGATATATTCGGAATCATCTTCCTTAAACTGGAGATCAATGAATATTTATAGCAGAAACACCCACGGAAACGCGTCCGCTAATTTGGGGTCTCTGTTTTTATTAGCCCGGCAGTCTGTTCTCTACAAGGGCCGTTGTGTGAAATCTAACTCCGACAAGGTGCCCAAGCTCAACGCGCAGCAGTTCCTGAGCTTGCGCTGGTTTAGGGTTTAGGGTTTAGGGTTTAGGGTTTTTCAGGGCTCAGGGTTTATGTGGTATGCTTGAGGGTATGCTACTGAAGGCTCAAGAACCTTGCTAAAGTCGCTGCACTGTCTTTTGCCGTGCCTTGCTGCTGTCTCTGCTCACTGTTGCAATAGCGTCCTAAACACGCTGAACCTATCTGGTTCCTTGTTGGGGCTATATAAAAAATGATCAGGGCTTTTGTATAACAAAAACGATCATTTGAAATCCTTGTTGGGTCTTTATTAAAATGCAAACTTGTATCCAGCAAGGACCCAGCTATCAGTTCGGGCCTTCTGGGACAGACCTAAACCTTAAACCCTAAACCCCTAAACCCCTAAACGCTAAAACCAAAACCCTAATTCGGGCCTTCTGGGCTTGAGTGTAGACTTGGTGGGACTCTCAGTGCAAGATGCGGTGTGCGCCTGGGAGCAACAGATGCACCCCAAGAAAAGAAAGCCCTACTGAAATAACGGCAAAGTTGCCTTAAACCCTAAACCCGTAAACCCTAAACCCCTGAACCCTCAACCCTAAACTCCAAACCCTAAACCCCAAACCCTCAACCCTAAACCCTAAACCCTAAAAACCCTAAACCCTAAAAACCCTAACCCTAAACCCAAACCCTAAACCCTAAAAACCCTCCTGCCTCGGCCCGACAGAGTCAAGGGCCGGCGAAGATGGCTAAAACCACGAATGATACAGCAGAAACCCCAAGCACCGAGGCCCCTCTCCTACCAACTACAGCTACCCTGCTTGGGGTTTAGGGTTTAGGGTTTAGGGTTTAGGGCAAGTGTAGGGGTTTAGGGCAAGTCCTGTACCCCAAAACTTAAAACTCCCAAATCCCCGAAGCCCGAGCGCCCCAAACCCCTATAGCTTAAGACGCTTAATGTTTGAGGGCACCCTACGCTGTCGGACTTGCCACCCAAACCCTCGACCCAAAACCATGAAACATTGAACCTGCAGCGCAGGAAAAAAAAAAAAACGAAACTCCAACCAAGAGCGTGAACCCTAGGATTTCGGGTTTAGGGTTTTAAGGGAAAACGCATGAAACCCTAAACCCTAAACCGTAAACCCTAAACCCTAAACCCTAAACCCTAAACCCTAAACCTTAACCCCTAACCTGCGGCCCAGGGCTCTGCATCATGTTGCCAAGCCCCACCGCTGCGAGCTCAGCTTCATTGCCGGCATGCCCCAAGCAGAGCGTGTTGGTGAACCTTTTTGGGTTTGCCAGGGTTTAGGGTTTAGGGTTTAGGCTTGTTCTGCGTGTGTTGGTGAACCTGACAGGACTTAGGGTTTAGGGTTTAGGGTTGTAGGGGCTTCAATAATTATAAAAGGGTTTCGGGGCCCACTACGCTAATTAAAATAAGGAACCCCCGAAATAATGTAGGCAATTATTTAGGTCCCTACATTTCGATCGGAAATGAACATCCTGAGAACAGCTTTTTCGGAAAACACGGGATTAGAAGAAATGTTGGTTTTTTTTCCAGGTTTCTACTCACACAGTCTTTTGATCGTCTTTGTTTTGTACTTCTGTGCTAGGGTCTTTAATAACCGAAAAGCACACAGACATATTTCGATCAGACATGTAGACCTACAAAGAAAAATTTCTGCCGACAACACTTGCCCACGAGCCCGTGCTTGGAATTCCAAATTCCCGGTTATTGTTTCTGTTGTCTTTTTTTTGCCCGCACGCTTCTCCTTTGTTTTCAAGAGGTTTGTAGGAGGGTTCTTCCAGCTTTTTTTTTGTGGCTACCGGCACGCCGTCTGTAGACTCACAGACCACCCCGGACCCTCATGCCCTCATGCTTGAGCTCCAGCAAGATTAGGGTTTAGGGTTTAGGCTTGTTCTGCGTGTGTTGGGCAACCTGAAACCCTAAACCCTCAACCCTAAGCGATGAGCTTCCGGAGCTTTCTGGGAGGGTCGGGGGACCTAGTAGTTAGTGCATAGAGTTAGAAGTATCATGACCCCCCATCAGGATCCCTTTTAGGGTATGTATAACTCTTCTTAGTACCTACTATTAGGATCCCGTTTAGGATACCTTAACGCTACTTCTTACCTACTAAGTCTCCCAACGCTCCAAAGCTAGCTGAAGGATGCAGAGGATGCCGGCTTAGGGTTTTAGGTTGGCCGGTTGTTAGAGGACACTACAGGTGTGGAGTTTAGGGTCTATAAGGCTTGTATAGACCTTCTATATGGCTCCTATAACGGTATCTACCCACCTGAAAATGTCCCAGAGGTTGAGTTTGGGTTCAGGGCTTCGGGGTTTAGGGGTTCAGGGCTTCAGTGTTTGAGGGTTTAGGGTTCAAGGTTCAGGAGGTGTGGTATTTAGGGTTTAAGGTTCCGGGGCTCCCGGTTCGAGGGCTTAGGGCATGTAGGGTTTGGGGTAAAAGGCTTAGGGTTTAGGGTTTAGGGTTTAGGGTTTAGGGTTTAGGGTGTAGGGTTTGGGGAAAAAGGCTTAGGGTTTTAGGGTTTAGGGTTCAGGTGGCCCAAAATTTCTGAGCCTGGTTCTCCCGAGTCTTAAAGAACTTTGGGTTTAGGGTTTAGGGTTTAGGGCTTCAGCCTTACATCTCCTATGCCTGATCCTTGCATTTTCTGACCCCCAGACCCTGCACCTCCATCCTCCTTGGGGAACCCTAAACCATAAACCTAAATTCACGAAGGATGCAGGATGTACGGGCCAAGGCAACTTCTGGAAGTCAGAACACAAACTCTAAGCCCGAAATCCCTAAACCAACAAATCAACCCCAAACCCTGACCCCTAAACCAACAATCCCTGAACCCCCAAACCCACAGACCCTAAACCAACCCCTAAACCCTAAACCCTAAAACCCCTAAACCCCTAAGAACCACGCCGAAGGAACTCGTTGAGGAGCATCGCCACGTTGTTGCACATGATCGGCCAAAAGATGTGCCATACTTCTCCTAGGTTGGCCCAAGAGGCTTTCGGCTCCCTTTGTAGGGCTTCGGTTTTTTCGGGTCTATAGGGTTTACATTTTAGGGTTTAGGGTTTAGGGTTTAGGAATTAAGGTTAGGGATTAGGGTTTGGGGTTTAGGGTTTAGGGTTTAGGGTTTGGGAATTAGGGTTTAGGGTTTAAGGTTTAGGGTTTAGGAATTAGGGTTTAGGGTATAATGACCACAAAAAAAAAGGGCCCTTAAGGACTACTATTGGTATTTCTAGGTTGGCCCTTGGTTGCCTCTGAAAAATACTCGTAAAATCGTCTTAGACCCAAGAACGGGATATGTAAAACATCCCAAAGGCCTTCCTAGTCTCCCAGCAGCACCTTCTTCGAAGGCTTCTCCTGGTGTAGGGCTTAGGGTTTAGGGTTTGGGGTTTTGGGATAGGGGTGCTTCAGGGTTTAGGGTTCAGGGCTTCGGGTTTAGGATTTTTGCTGCAAAGACTTTTGTTGAGGCAACCTGCCTGGCAACGGGAAACTGCCCTACAGGAGCAAGGGGGTTTTAGGGATTTTTGGGCACTTGTCTTCGGAATTCAGGGTTGAGGGCTTCTGGCACTTCGGGGATACCCTAAACCCTAAACCCTGAATTTCTGGCTCAGGATCAACAACTTCACCAGCAACTTGGCCCGAAGCGCGTGAGAAAAAACATGTACATGTCATCCCTTCCTGAAATCCTCAGCTCCAAGCCCCAAACAGGCTAAAGTCTAAACTCCACCGCCTGCTAAACCTGAACCCTGCGGCTTCTTGAACCCAACCCTAAACCCTAAACCCTAAACCCAAAACCCTAAACTCTAAGAATCAAACAACCTGAAGAGTAAGGGCTTAGGGCTTAGATCAGCCCTGATAGAATTTGCATCGAGCCCTTTACAGAACCCTCTTAGAACTCTTCCTGAAGCCCTATAGAACCCTCATACAAAAAAATGAACAGAACTGTTCCAATATAACCCGCCAAAAGCCTTACAAGTACAGCAGGTTTGCAACACTGTAATCAAAAGCCTCATACAAGCCCGCAGTAAATGCTGGACCCTGAACCCTACATACTAAACCCTAAACCCTAAACCCTAAATCCTAAACCCTAAACCCTAAATCCTAAACCCAAACCTCGAACCCCAAACCCGGAACACTAGAAGCAACGGCCTCGGTCTCATTCAGGCGCGCCAGAGAATTCGTCGGCGTGTGGACCTCCATCGTCGCGCTCCGGATTGCGCCGACCCAGGGCAGGACTTGATCTCTGTATAGAAGGCTTCCTACAAGGGGGATTTCGGGTTCTCATGGTGATTCATGGTTGTGAGCATCACGGTTGCTCCGATCTGTTGTTGTTGGCTCCGTAGACAGTGTACTTCGACGGCATTGTGGTAGTCGTGTATGCTCCGCGTGCCAGTCGCATGTGGGAGATGGGTTCCGACAACAGCCGACTCATACTTCACTTAGACAGAAATCGTGCGAGCCTCTATGCTGAAAGCCGAAGGACAGAGACAGAGGAGACAAAAGGGAGTTGGACAGAACAGTGAACGTTAATTAATGTAGCCCCTAAGTAGTGGGATTCTCGCTGCCAAGGTGAACCCAATATGTATTCCAGGTTTAGGTGGGGGGTTGGGGATGCGCTTACCCCAAGTACCCCTCAACCTTGGCGTCTTTTTGCCGTTACGATGTTTGAAAATCAGGACCTTGCGGTCTTGGGGCAGGGTGCTGGCTCGCTGTTGGGGTTGGAAGACTGTTAGGGGCAACGGCCTTCATAAATAGAATAGGGAGTTTTGATGGCCCCAAACCCTAAACCCCCAAACC